GGGGCAAAAGGCAAAGACTGCCGAGTGGATCAGCTCGGGAAGCCAAAAAAAAMCAAAAAGTCTGATGAGATCGATCAGGAAATCTTACAAGGGCTCTCAAACAGGGTAAGAAATGAAAATAGTTTGGAAAAAAATCATAGAAAAATGGAAACCTTCAAGTTCTGGATGTCAGGAGTGCTTTCACTGGATCTCCTTGGATTTGCACCCAAGTGCTTTGGAAGATACCTGCCATCAGGGCAAAGAGCCAGTTTTCCTTCTGGAAATGAAGCTCTGTAACATCTAATTGCAACATCTTCACACACAGGGAGAAATTGAGAGTGCTGGCACAGAGGAGGTTTATACACAAGTAAGGTCAGAAGTTCAGAAGGATCAGAAACTTCAAGGATAGAGTATAAGGTTCTACAGATAAAATGAACTTGTATGGAAAGGCCTCTTTGCAAGGAATTCCAGGAAGCCCTCTAACAGATGGTTGTAGGGAAGGGGAAAGAAGCATGAGCTTTCCTGCCTCTGCACACAAGAAGCTGTGAGAAGCCTCCTTGCAACACGGTAGTGAAGTGCTACTTCACTTCTAGGCCTCCTAACATTATTGTAAATCAAAATATGTGAAAAACCCAATAGAAATACTCTTTACGGCTGCTGGTTAGGTTTCACTAGTGTGAAAAGAAAATTAGGGAAAAAATAAGAAGTTATCCTTGTACCGAAGTGACTTACAAAATAAAGCAAAGGGACACTACCTGCCCATGTTGCAGAAGACTAACTATGCTTGCGTAGMGGGGAAAGGGTTGGTTCCCAGACTAAGACATGAGAGTTCCACAAGGTGGAAGCATTTAAATTGCTCACATCTTATGAAATAACCCTATGTCTAGGAGATACAGGAGAGGATATGTATCCATTTCTGGCACAGCAGCCTAGAAAAGCCCACACAGGAATCAAACCAGCATCATAGCCCACCTTTGGAAGGGGATGGGAACAGGCAGGAACAGCTTGCACCCCTTGCCGTCTTTTCCTGCGCGCTCAGTACCAGCCCTGCAGTTGTTGGCTAGGGCACAAGAAACGTGCCTGAGCCAGCAGGCCTGCACTGCCTTTTTGCAATGAGAAAGAAAACATCTGGYAACCAGAATGTGCAAGAAGTCAAGGAAAGAAAACAGACTACGAAAGTCTTTCATATACCAGAACTGCTGTCTATTTGAAATAGCAGCCAAAGCAGGAATACCCAGCGTCTGCCTATACTGGAACTTGGAGCAAACAGAATTATCGCGGAGTGTAAGTCGTGCTGGAAATAGCTTCAACCACCATAGTATGTGGGTCAGAAATTAAACTTATTTACAAATGCAGAGATGTATTAAGAAATAATCCAGCACAGTGGTCGTGGGTTTCTAAATCACAAAGTCAGTTAACAACACAAGTATGAAAAAGGAGCTTTTTTGGGGGGCTATATATTTATTACAAGGAATATTAATGTTTGAATCCACCTTTGAAGAAAATAAGTGCCCTTGAGATGTTAGAGTCTATCAGCCAAATTGAATGTCTGCATCAATGGCTCTCCCTAAAAGTCATAATTAGGTCATTAAAATATATTTAGAAAAATAGCCTGTAAAATAAAGTCAAAAAATACTCACCTTCATTTTATTTCATAGGTCACTGTTATACTATCTAATAAGATAATTAAAAACATGCAAGCAGCTGGTACTGAGGCTAAACAGATTAATGTAATAGTCTGTAGTCATATGTGCTGGCAAGGGGTTCACCTCTTTGGCGAGGAGAAGGTCAGCTGCCCTTGGGAAGGCAAGAGAAAGGCAGTATTTCGACTTTCCAGTGGCACTGCATTGCAGATACTGGAGGCTTGTGCTTTTTTTTTTCCCTCCCTTTTCCTTTTGGCCACGTCTGGCCAATTTATACATCCTGAAAAGGCTTCAACCACGGCAGTAAAACACTACAGTACAGTGCAGCTCAGCGCAGCTCAAACATTTTTTTCCAAGGTGTCTTGCATTTTGAAAGATATGTCCAATACCTTGTTAAATTTTTTCTAAGAGTGAACTTAAAACTCTGATGACATAGTAGTAGAAAATATTCTTTAATATCATATTCATAAAGCTTTTCTCAAGTATATTAAGAATGCTTTCCTCAGAACCTGAAGATCAATGAGAAAATTATCTGTGACCTGAAAGGATGCATTCACAAACTTACAGAATATTTAGAAATATGTGCCAGTCACATGAGCTTATCATTTACATTACTTATGAACTTTATGACCTAAAGGGAAATGCTCACTATCTGAACATAAGGGGCATTAAATCTGTGCTACGATGAGTACAAGCAAAATCCACAAACTCCATATTAAAAAAAAACCCAGAAACTAACACATGAAGTCTTGAACAGTGTAACTTAAAAAAAGGGGTGTATCAAGTAAATTCGCCTTACTGCCATGCTGCCATGTTTTTTTATTGTAGCAAGGAGCACTTTAACAGCAAAAAGCATTCACAATTAAGTGTTTTTAATCATTTGGAGTCGCTATTTCTCCTAAATGAATTACAAAGAGACTTCTTTGTAAAAGAAAAAAGCACTTCTTTCAGTAAAAATTTTCAGTATCATTTTGCACATATTCTACAAGCATAATATCTACTGTGATCCAAAGATGTCATGGCCTCTTTAGGGCAAGAATCTAATACCAYGGCTTTTTAAAAGTACAATAGACTGCAACACATTGGATAAACAAAACTATCATCACTTTTATCAAATTGCTAATTTACTGAAATAATATTAACTGGAAATATCCTAAAGTATGACAAAATGTCCAATGAGTCCTTAAATAAATTACACAGATCTACTATTGTTATCTTTCAAGGCAGTTTAAGATTCATTTTTAGTCTTTCATAAGATACTAACTGTTCATTTTTATATAACACGCAGCACAGAACTGTAACTATCAACATAATATTCAACGCAACCAGCAAATTTACAGCCAATCTCATTATATGATACGAGTTACTTGCCACCGAGCAGAAAATACTCATTTCACACCTTAAATACTGTAATACTATTTAATAACAGTGTTAGCTTGCCAGCTATTAAAAGCCAGAGTTTTTTTTTTATATACTGTACTCGCTTGCTTTATCATCTTGCCTCTAATTATACCAATAATTTAATACACTGGCAGTGCAATAAAGACATGGGACTGATTTTAAAATATAACTTAACTTCAGTTTTGCAAATTGTGTTGTAATCCTCTCTGACAGAATATGATTATTATTCTGTTGAAGTGGTAGCTAAGATCTTTTTTATTATAAGCACTTTGAACTAAAGAATAGAGACACAAATGCCAACTTTGTCTTTTAGCTGATTGCAAAACATTAAAGATGGCTTGGCCTATAGGAATAGCCTTAGGGTACCTCCAGAATGTTTCTAAATAGGCAAGTGTTTAGCAACAAGCTGCAATATTCCAAAAGGATTGACCAAAAMCATCTGTAATACCAAGTATATGTCCTCTGAATCTTGAGGTTGATAGTCTAGAGASTGATGGGACTGTGTCCACTTACAGCTTACATGGCATAAATGATGCCATGATTCATCCTCCCACTTATTTCTAGTCTCATGTTCTAGTCCCCTTTCCTTACACTAGCACCAATACTCATCTGAACCTCATCTTGGTATCAGTCTTGGGGAGACTGATACAATGACCTAAATTATTAGAAAACCGACTGTACCAAAGGGCAGTTTGGGCTAGCCCAGCCCCCTTGGACTGGTTTGCTGAGATGAGTCCCAGTGCAGGAGTGAAGAGCAAGGTGTGGAGAAAAGACAAGAGCTCAGCTCCAGAGGGAACACACTCCGGAAACCACAGTCCAACTGCAGCCAGTTTCCCCTTCTAGCTTTCCTTTAGCAGGTACAGTCAGCTGGGGCTTGGGAGTTAATCGCTTTCAGACATAAGTGTGTGGCAATTAATGGCATAGAAATCCTCAACTCCTCCCCTTTGCTAATCTGACTAATTTCTATTTTGCTGATTTTCAGAGGCTGCTTACTTTATTTTAGGTATTAATGCGTTTCTCACCTGGAAAGCAAAAGGATTATTTGGGGTGATGTTTTTGAGGTCTTTGTTTAATGCAAATAGTTAGCTGCTGCACTCATTATAAGTGTATTGGGCTATTCAAATTTTCTTTATGCATTAGAGAACACAACTGTAACAGGAAATTGAGTCAGACAGACCCTGAAAGAACTCTGCCAGCAGCAGGGATCCTAACCACACTCAAGGAGTATCATCACAAGCTGGGTTTCACCAGAACATAAATTTGATGAAGGAACTTTTAGGATACAGAAAACTGAAAGGGTCTGTAAATAAAAGCTCCCTTGGCCCGCTGTGTACCTGCAAACCTGTCCTCTGTTCCTGATGTTTGCTGCATCCCTGCAACTTTCCCCCAGCTGCATAGCCAAATCCCCAGGCGAGGATTGGAAGTTCCCCATCCACCAGCTGCAACCAGGACAGGATTTCTCCTGCCTACCCGCTCTCACCTCTTAAGCATACACCGCAGAAAACTACGAACGAAAAAAGCTACATAGAAACTACACGTTTTAGTGTGCTACGAGAATTCAAAATAGTATAGTGGTAGTCTTCATTTTATTTTACCATAGTCAAGAATTAAGTTTAACAGCAGTGCTGCAAAAAGTTGTTGTGTTTCTTGAACTGGTGTTTAGTATCAACAGAAGTGAAACCTTACTACCGGAAAATGTCAAATTTAATTAATAATGCTGTTAGAGTTTCATGTCATCTRTAGATCCAGTTATTTTGGAGAAAATCACCTAATGTTTCAATGCTTTCATTAATTAAGCATTTTGAAGTTTTCTCATAAAGCAAGTTTTTCAGATTGATCCTTAATCAGTCTGATTGTTACAACTTAAATTGTACAATACCCTTAAAATGTAGACTTGCTCCTTCACTTTAAATACATTATGTTGACTACATGGTAATAAATAGATAAAAAAATAAATAAATACCAAACACTACTGACCTGTAAGAAATAAATGTTCCATCAGAATCTGGGCTGTGGTGCATGCTTCCRTTTTCACTTGATCCTCCTGATATGAAAACAAAAGAAAATGATCTTGGTTATTGGAGGCTCTGATAATAAATATCACAGTATTACTGACAATAACAAATGATTTTATTATATATAGTAACTTTATTTCATGACAAAGCCTAAATGAACACTTCTCAACTCTCTTTCTTCAAAATTTTACAGCTCTCAATAGAGACAACTAGACACAAGCTGCCATTCTGAACCTGTGTGTTCTAAAAACATAAAATTCCATTCATTTGTGGTTTTGGTTTAGACCTATCTCAGCTTCTTAAACACAACTTAAATAGGTTAAAAAAATAGAGGTGTACAATATAAATAGATAAGTTTGGTTTTACTAATGAAGAATGAACAAGTTCATCTATTCTGTGAAAGACTGGATTGATAATATGATAGCAGATTTTTTTCCTCTTTTTGAAAGTTCAAAGCTTCTATCAAACAACTTCAATAGTATATATATACTATTATTAAATATTATTAAATATATAACGTTCTCTTTGCCATTTTTCTAAATGAGGCTCCATATCCTGTCTCTTGTTTAAATCAGTCTTAAACATGGAAAAGGGACAAAATCACAGCCCCAGCATGCTAAATGAAGTCTGATCAGTTTAGTCTCGGGACAGCATTTGTTTCCCCTACTAAAAATACCTTGCCTGATAAAATCTGGTCATGCCACATCATGTTGTAGTTTCACAGTCACCCTGTAACAGACCCAAATGTTTGCTCTCCTTATTCATTCATAACAAGATGGTTGCAGTTTACAGCAAAATTTCTTGCTAGTATGATACTGTAGTTCATATTGTTTCATGCTGTCTCTTGGAAAGGTTCATTTCTGCCTAAATTTTCCATTTATTCTTGCACTGGATACTACCTTCTAATATTGTTCCTGTGAAATCCGTATTGCAGTTTCACACTTTGTGCCAAGGCAATGAATGAAAATATTGGCTAAGATCTGTTCAATCATAAACCGTTGAACTCCCCTAAAAATATAATTCTTTCATTACGATCTGTTGTCACCTATTTGTCTTACAATTACTTTATTTCACTAATCCTCCTATTCTCTACTTCATAACATCTCCTGTGGTACCACATCAGATGGCTTACTGAGGGCTAGACAGACTTAACATATTTCTTTAAAACATGTTTCTCTTGAAAGAAGGCTAGCAGGTTAGTTGGCCACTATCTCCTGTTCAACATGATCAACCCGCACTAAAAGTTATGCCATTTTCTATTTTTTTAATTTATTTTTTCCTTAAGAAATATTGCTGGAGCATTGCACACATAATGGTCATCCTATTATGCTTGCAGTTTATTTGCCATCACTTATTTTTCTCTTACCCTAAATACGCAACTTACTTTCTCTGCAGTAGGGACTACATTTCTTTTCCTTCAATTATATAGTATCAGCCATAAACYGAAAGACTAAAAATTGTACTACACAGCAGCATTTATCAGTATCCTTGAACAAGGGGTACTCAGCATTCAGATGTTTTAATTATTACTAGAGACACTGTTCATTAATAATCTCTATCTAACATTCCCCTTCAATTCCASCATGTCTTTACTTGAAAATCTGCCTTTACCAGAAACTAGAGCTAAGTATTCTTCTACGTTTAAACGACACCTGGATTACATTTAGTTTCATTCTCCACTCAGACTACTCAGGGGTTCTAAGTTTCCTCCCCAGGAAACTTATTGGCACAGTTAAAATAATATTTTCTTGTTATTTTAAATATCTTTCTTAGAATTCAGTTCAGTTTAACTTCCAGTAATTGTCACTACAACCCCACAATTTCTACCACCAGGAGATGGCCTTCTTTGATGATTTTTTTTCTGTTCCTTTCTGGGTCTCCATTTACTCCAAAACTTCTTTAACAACTGTGCAATCATTCAGTGGAACACAGAACTTTCCCTCCTCACATTACACAGATTGCAAGTTTCTCAGTAACTTTTGCACCTTTGTCTAAAATAAATTCTGATCTCTACACTACTCAATATAGCTGACTTCACTGACTGACTTCCTCAATTTAGTTTGAAAACAGAAAGTTTAATCTGCTGCTTCTTTACTCCATTTAGATGAACAAAGCTGGACTTCTGATCATTACATTCTTTTTCTTTTTTTCTTATCTCTTGAAAAATAAAGCCTATCGAAATAGGACAATTTCCAGTAATATGTTTTTAATGGAACATATCCACTTCCCAATAAATATTGCTACTTACCATCAACATATTCTCTACTTTCGTATKTCAGATATTCAGATGCTCCCATTTTTGTTTTTGCATTATTTCACAAAAAGACTTTTCCTCCACTGATGGCTTTACCCTACTTCTTATCTGAATGTATCATTTAATTTTTTTTTTTTTTACAATCATTGGGTAATCCTAATCAAGACCAAATACTGTGATGATTACTCAAATAAAAACAATTCCTTGGAGGGAAAGCAGTTTACTGACACTCAGAAGTTTTTAAGATCATGATGTTAAATTCAAAATCAATTTTCTCTGAATTACTCTTTTTTTAATGCAGCACTAGGAACAAAATAAAGAAAACCACTAGAGAGAATTAAGTATTCTTCAGGCAGAAAAGTGGAGCATTATAAACCTCCACAATGTATAATCCAGCCTCTGCATTCTTCAGATGAGCTCTAGCCACTGTCGAAGTGGACTGACTGGCTGAAAGGAAACCCTATAAGGTTTAAGGTAAATCTCAGGATACGGCTCAGACAGCATTTTATTGATAAAAAATTAAGTAGATTTCTCTGGTTAGCCTACCTGAAGAACACTACTATTGCCAGAGGTCTAAAACTTAACATGAGCATCACTTAAAAGAACCAGAGTACATCCTAAGGCYTCCTTACCAGTGGAACAACAATGTTCAATCTCTTTTATAACCATATGGGTAAGTTTCCTAATACTGGGCAACTGTTATAGGGATATGGTGCACAGCAATGGGTCCTGAAGGCATTAATGCAGTTCCATTAAACTTAGGTACCTTCGAGGCATTCACCTACCACACTAGGTATCTCTCCATGGGAGACTGAGGACTGTGTTGTGGAATATTTTCTGCTCCAAAGCAAAATATTTGGATGTGAGACAAAAAAAGACCTTTGTATTTCTAGGACCAGTCAACAGCCTAACCATCGCATTAAGTCCAAGGGAAAAAAAAATTAATTTGTACATGAAGAGACTTTGAAATTAAAGTCTAAACTACTGATACCAAACAACCTCATCCATTATGAATGTCAGTGTAGCAGTACATTTTTCTTCATTTGGAAGCACTCTCAAATTCTTCGAATTCTTTGTTTGGAATTCTCAGAATTGAATATTTTTTTAACAATTGACACAGTATTTCAGTATTCTTAACTGTCCACATATAAATCTCACATTCAACAGGTTACTACTTTCTGAGTGCCTTGGCCTCAGGTAAGTTCCAGTTATCCTTGCTTTGGAAAGGATACAGTCAACATTCAGTACATAACGTAATTTCTTGCATCTTTATTTTCAAAAACAAGAATCCAAATTTCCGGTAAAATTAGGATATATACTGAAGAACTGTAAGATCCACAAACCTAATACTGGATACTCCTTCAAAAGAGCTAATTGATTCACTAATATGGCAAATCTTTGGATGCTTTCTGAGATGCAGAACTGAGTTGAGAATGATGATGTACCAGAAAAGTGGAGGTTGTTCCTACCACCAAACCCCTGCTCCCCCAGAAAAGGATTCTGAATCTCTAAAATAAAAATTAAAAAAAAAAAAAAAAAAAAGGGCAAAAAACCTTACCACACCTTTCTGATAGAAGAGATAGAGATGGGAAACAACCTGTACCATAATGGTCATAATGGTCATTAGTACTGAAGTAATAACAGAACATGAAATCTATCCCTCAAATGTACGAGTGTCCCAGGTCTGAGTTCGGAGGTAAGATTCACTTGCCTCTCAAATGAAGGCTGAGCTCCCATATCTTTCGGCGCTGAAGTGGTTGCTGGTTTTAACACAGTAATAATGCAAGCCTTTCGAAAGGAACTCAAAACATCTGCTATCTTTCTCGCTGCTGCTTTAACTGGATGGTCTTCCCCTAGCCCATCCTGGGAAGGAGTAAACTTCCTCTTCAAAGAAGGCAGTTCAATTGTCCCCTTTTAGTTAAGGCTTTTTTTTAGATGGAGATTCAGGGAGCTGAGGCTTGGGTGAGTACTACTGGACTGCCACGCTGCTGGAGGCTGTTTCAAAAGAATTTGTATGACTTGACATTGATGCTGCTTTTACTGAACAGTCCATAAAGGAATGTGTCGAATGCAGCCGCCTTCAGCTTTCAGAGCTGCATGGAGAAGGGTTCGTAATTCGTAAATTCTCTAGGATACTACACTCACCCAGAACACACAGGTTCGTCACTCACAGAAACGGTTTTCTTGTAAGAACATATTTGGGGCTATAGATACAATAAATAATAATAAAAAACCYAGAACTCTGAATAAGCAGCGTGCCAAAGAGACTTTCTGAGGATTATCTGAAAACTGTAAAATCTGTAGAATTTACTAACAATAACCCTCATTTAAATATGCATGCTATTTTTGTACTATTCTTTTTTTCAGCAGAATATTATACTGATAGTATAATCTGTTCCGGAAGAAAAGGTTCGCCAAGGTRCAGTGCAGTTTCTATTTCAGGCAATAAGAAGGAGCTGAATAGCATTTCATAGCYCCAGATCAGGAGCAGAAAGATGCTCCGGGTAGCTACCTGGCACAACAAACAGTCTGAGCTTATGCATGAATTCAACAAGAATAAAAAGTGATGTGAGGAACCACAGAGAGATCAGATGTGTTTCTCACTCATCTCCTTCCCTGTGGCTCTGGAAAGAGCTGTCTTATACAAGATGCAAAAACACAGCACAGGACTTAGGGAGAAGGAGTGGGATCTGATCATGACCAGCTATGAGTCTACCAGAGCACCAAGGGAAATTCCCCTGCTCCTACTGTTAAAAAATAACTGTATATATGTGT